AAGCTAGACATAACTACAGTGTGCCTTAATATTGAATGATTCTCTATTTTCCTCGGTGTATAAACAGGAGTACACTAACCATGGTACTTGTTATGTTTTTTCCCTGAAGACACTGGCACTAAAAGCCCAGATAATATCTACCTAGGTAGTCACCCTTCTCCTTGTACATACTAGTAGTCCTAGAACAGTGATGGTGAACCTTTTGAGCTCGGCGTGTCAGCATTTTGAAAAACCCTAACTTAACTCTGGTGCCGTGTCACATATAGAAATTTTTTTATATTTGCAACCATAGTAAAACAAAGACTTACATTTTTGATATTTATGTTATATATTTAAATGCCATTTAACAAAGAAAAATCAACCAAAAAAATGAGTTCGCGTGTCACCTCTGACACGCGTGTCATAGGTTCGCCATCACTGTCCTAGAGAGCCGTATCAAACAAGAACTATAACATGTGATCTCTGATTACACCTAGGTGATGGTATCTGCTGATTCATCCTTGCACTTTTCCACATTGCTTAAGTTTTTATAAAGAGCAAGTATTCTGTTCACTAAAAAAAACATTTTATAAACTATATAGCTAATTAATAGCTAATTGACCTAAAATACTTTGTTTCTATTGAATGGAAAAGTTATTTGATAAATTAATTACTACTCAAAATTATTTCTAAGTTTTCACATAAGTGATTTGGTAATATTTTATACCAAAGTAAAGTTAACCCCAAATTGAATATTATATAAATCTTCCTCTTATCAAATATCTTAGCCCTTCCCCTTCCCTAATATCCATTGAACAACAGATTTTCAAGTTAACATAGTCAACAGTATCAACATGTACCTGTAAAAGAAAAAAGGAAAATAACAAAACCTACATCTGACATTTTTTTTAAAACCACATAACGTGGCTTACCTGTGCAGAGTTCCACTACCAGCCAGAGATGATTGCTGGTTTCATACCATTCGTGCAGGGTTACGATATTCTGGTGTTTAATTTCTTGGGTGAGACGGACCTATAAAAACACACAACATACACACTTTTTAAGAAAAGTTCTTAAAACCCTTGCATCTATTTTTTTTTAATATGTTTTATTGATTTTTTTACAGAGAGGAAGGGAGAGAGATAGAGAGTTAGAAACATCGATGAGAGAGAAACATCGATCAGCTGCCTCTTGCACATCTCCTACTGGGGATGTGCCCGCAACCCAGGTACATGCCCTTGACCGGAATCGAACCTGGGACCTTTCAGTCCGCAGGCCGACGCTCTATCCACTGAGCCAAACCGGTTTCGGCAACCCTTGCATCTATTAAAAAAAATACCTAAATAGCCCAACCAGGTGTGGCTGAGCGTCAACCCAGGAACCAAGAGGTCACTGGTTCAATTCCCTGTCAGGGCATATGCCTGGGTTGCAGACTCAATCCCCAGTACAGAACATGCAGGAGGCAGCCAATCAATGATTCTCTCTCATCACTGATGTTTCTCTCTCTCTCTCTCTCCTTACTTCCTCTATGAAATCAATAAAAATATATTCTAAAAAAATAAAAAAACACCTAAATATACAATCAGGAAATGGATAAGAAAATAATAGAATTCATTGGGTGGAATTCTTTATGGACATCAAAATGATGGTTATGAAGGCTGGTCACATGGAAACATACAATCTTAAAAATGATTTTTTTCAAAACTTGTGTAATATAGTTTTGTGTATTTTGGGTAAATATAATATTGCAAAAAAAGAAATATTATTCATAGGAAAATGGCCAAAACGTTTACATCAAAAAAGCTATTGTAGCCCTGGCTGGTATTGTTAAGTGGTTAGAGTGTCGACCCATGCAACAAAGGGTCTCAGGTTCAATCCCTGGTCAAGGGCATGTACCTGGCTCACAGGTGTGATCCCCGACCCCAGCTGGGGCGCATACGAGAGGCAACCAATTGATGTGTCTCTCTCACATTGATGTCTCTCTCTACCTCTCCTCCCTCCCTCCCTTCCTCCCTTTCTCCCTTCCACGCTCTCTAAAAATCAATTGAAAAAACATCGAGTGAGGAGGAACAAAAGCGAAAAAAAAAGGTTAAGATGGTAAATTTTGTGTTATGTGTATTTTACCACAATAAACAAAAAAAGTTGAGGGGAAAAAAAAAAAAAAAAAGTCAGGTTTGGTCCAAGGAGCCTGGGCTGTAAAGAGGCACAGCTAATTCAAACCCAAGTCACACTCGCCCCAAGTCCTTCCTTTGGAAAGCTTCCTAATCACATACTAAATTTAAAAGTAAATGAACCAATCCAGACCGTATTTTCCCCGACTCTCACCAAAACAAACGAACTGTTACGCTGTTAATGACGTGGGCATGTTTATCAGTCATTAGTCAGGACTGGCGGCACTAAACAGGCACAGAGAGGTCGGCCAGTCGATCGAAAACGTGGCACCTGCTATAGTGAGTTCCATGGCTTCTATTTACATACTACTTATTCTACCACATCAGAGCTGTCTTTTGCCAGAGGGAAGGAAACATACTTGACTTACCCAGTTCGTTATTTCAGGCCTTTTGCACTTATCTGTGCAAAAAACAGCTACAAAATTGATTGTTCCCTTCCGTCGCCCTTTATAGACAATGGTCCTGCTTCCTCTGCCGATCTCCTCGTATAGAACGAAGTTTTGCATCTCCGGGCCAACTTCTCACACTTGATAGAAGGACCGCCTAATAGCATCTCTAGCTCCTAAAATGTAAACAAAAATGACACACATAAATGCAAGCTAGTCGTATGATTAATTAGCCCAGGATATTTAATATGTAAATAAATCTAATAATTCTATAAATTCATAAGATTCACTGGTATGCAACACCTACAAGTAAGTGTTGAATACCAGTGTCTTTCTTTTTGTAGGATGAAAAAAGATATGGGAAAAATAAATAAAAGAAACAATTCACAAACCAATATTCAACTTCCTAAAGATCTTAACAAAAACAATGAAAATGACAGCTGTCTCCAAAACAACACAAATCATGAGATGAATGCAATTTCAGGCAGTGTATCTTGATACCTCTGCTACAATGGAAAGCATATCTGTAGAGAAAGAAATGAAACAATGTACGCAAAAATATTTCATAAACAAATATGGAAATGACAGCATTTCCATCTACTCCAGATACTGTACAAATCAATATTATTCAAAGTCAGAGTTCAGCAAACTACTGGTTCCTGGGCCAATTCAGCCTGTTGCCTGTTTTTGTACATAAAGTTTAACTGGAGCACAGCTATACCCAATTCATTAATATATTGTTTAAGGGCCACTTTCACGCTACAATGGCAGAGTTGAGCAGTTGTGGCAGAGACCACATGGCCTGCTCACACACTCAAATGTTTACTATCTGGCCCTTCACAGGAAAAGTTTGCTAAATCAAGATTTTTAAATATATGTTTTAATATTTTCATTGATTTCAGAGAGGAATGGAAAGAGAGAGAGAAAAAAAACATCAATGATGAGAGAGCGTCATCAATCAGCTGCCTCCTACAAACCCCACCTGGTTCACAGGTCGACGCTCAACCGCTGAGCCACACCAGCTGGGTGATTAAATTAAACAGTGTTAAAACACATTGTGTACCGCATAGAAATCTCTAAGACATACGCCAGGGACCGCACGTTTTTGGGCAAACTGCACGTTATTTAAATCATCATAATGCACTTTAGGTGTTGTTTTTCAATAATTATAACATTTTTATTTACAAAAACAATTACACATCTAAAGTTCCTAGTACTTTTTTAACGTATGGTACTGCGTAACACATTTTCCTCTATGAAAAGGGACCAAACAAAATTTACATAAGTATCTAGATTCGCTTTTGCCATGGGCGTGAAAAACGAGAACACTCGTGAGCGGTCCTTAACAGATGGCGCACGAAACACGAGAAAACTCCTGAGCGGTACGAAATGTGTTAAAATGAAGAAGATGTTGAACCAGAAATAAAGAGGCCTTACTTACATGTTTACAAATTGGCTACATTAGGATACATCCAGATAAAGATGCTTAAGTGTTGATGCAAAATGAATAACTGATTCCTCAAACTCAAGGTGATCGTCTAAGTTATCTTCCAAGTTTGAAATTCCATGAATTTAAGATTTTTTTGACTCAGTCTAAGGGCCTGCCTCACAACAGACTTCCCACTAGGAATTTTTAAAATTTGATTACCTCTTAAGTTGTAAAATGAAACACAAATACAGAAAACCACACAAAATAGAGTTTACTGAATTATGGTAAGAGGTACACCGCTGTCATCACCACCCGGGCCAGGAATAGCACTTGGTGGCCACCCCAGAAATCCCTCCATGAGCCTAAGGCAATCACAGCTCCGCCTGCTCCCCAAAAGTAACCGCTCTCCTTACTTTCACAGTTATCACTTCCTTGGGTTTCTTCATAGTTTTCCCACCCACGTGTGGAATCCCGGACAATTTAGTCTTGCACGTTTTCTAAAAGCGTGGTGCATCTTTTCTCTCTCTTTTCATCTACAAGTTTACCTAGATATCATCCGAAAAGCCAGAAGTCAGAGCAAATCACACCTACAAGCAAAGGAGGCATTTACGAGCCAGGGGCACGCAGGTGAAGACCGGGATCCTCCCCTCCATCAGCCCCGCCCTTTAACTCCCGCACTAGCAGCATCAGCGACACCTGGGAACTGGATAGAAACCAACTCTCGCGCCCCATTCCAGACCTCTGGACTCAGAAACTCTGGAATCCGGGCCTGGCAAGCGGTTTTAATTCGCCCTCGGGATGCTCGCTCACCTTTGCGAACCTCGGGCCGTGTCACCCTTGCCCCGGGACCCAAAAGGCGGCCAGGCATTTTGGTAAGTCCTTCAACAAGTGCGCCTCCTGCAGCACTTTACAGACCGAATTCCCTGCAGGCTGAGCTCGGTCTGACTTCGGGCCGAGGGATGGCGGGAGAGGGAAGAAGAGTGAGTAGGCGGGCAGCGCCCCTCCAGACCCACAGTCTCTACCGCGTGGGCTGAGGGAGTCCCGAATCCAGACTTACGCCCCTAAAACTGCCACTCACCGGGTCTCTGGGGGAGATGCCACCGACCAGCCAGACCGCTCCCCCCTTGTGCGCAGGTCTCGAATCCTAGCCCCTCGGGACGGGTCCACTGGCCCCAAACCGGGGGCGAAGCAATGGAGCAAAGCGGGACGCGCGGTAGCAGCGTAAGGCCGTGAGCGTCCGGCGCCCCTCCGCGTTTGGATTCGCCCATCCCGTCTCCAGGGCAGCACGCAGAACGCCAGAAAGAGCGCAGGCTCTGACTGGCTGAACAGTTTCGGTTCCTATTGGCTGGAAGTGAGCGGCTAGAGCACCTCCCTCAACACAAAGGGCTCGCGCCCAGCCTTCGGACGAGTCCACCGATGCTGGACCGGGGCAGAAAGTGGTGGAGGGAGGCGGGGCTCTGAGCGTCAACATCCGGCCTCGCGAACTGAGCACCCCTCCGCATTTGGATTCGCCCAGCCGGTCTCCAGGGCAGCACGAAGGACGCCGGAAGAAGTCCCTGGCGCTGACTGGCTGAGCAGTTTGAGTTCCTATTGGCTGGAGCCCGGAAGTAGGAGTGGGTGACGGGCGGTTCGTCCATCCTTTTACGGTGTGTGGGGATTGGGGTCTTGGACCGATCAGGAGGACCTACCTGGGCTGTAGTGGCAGATTTGGGGGCTCTGCGGCCCTGGGCTCTCGTCATTTCTTCTCTGCCCTCTCCCCGTTTCCTTCCGTCCTTTTTCTTCTGACGCCCTCCGTAGCCCAGGTGGACGTGGGTAACCAAAGGGCTCAGAAGCCTGCTCCTCGGGTTGCCCACCCTTGGAAAAGAGAAGGCTATGGATTACTTCCTTCTTGTACCTGAGAAAACAGACCAGATCCTCTGATCTCGAGGTGATTGCTTATGACTTGGGAAGCTCCAGGTCCTCAAATCCAATCACCAGATACCTGAGCGCCAGCTTCCCACTTCCTTCTGATGCTAAAGTTTTTCTCAAACTTTAGCATCAGAATCACCTAGACTCTACAGTGCTTGAGAAAGCACTTCTGGGCCCCACCCACAGAACTTCTGATTCTGTAGATCTTGATCAGGCCCAAATGTTTGCATTTGTATCAAGTCACCAGGTGAAATAGATGTTGCTGATAAGGGACAAACTTGTAGACACTGTGTCTCTGATCTCAGGTGAAACACATGTCCTGTTCTTTGACTTCTAACCCGTCCTGCCTTCTCAGTAATCTTGTTATTGTCAGTTTTGTGTAAAGCAGTGGTTCCCAACATGGGCCCCACTGGGGGGTGGGGGGGCAATTTGATTTTTAAGGGGGGCAGTTCGAGACTGAGTTAACAGTGAATTTTTTGCATTTCTTATGGTTCTAGGGGCCTCATATGCAGTATATAAATACATATTGTAATATATTTATGCATTTCAGTACTCTATGATATGTTTTGAAACTTTGCTGTTTTCTCATATCTCTTTGAATTATGATTTTTTAACAATTTCTTAGTGCTTTCTCAGTACTTCAACTGCCCTTTCGTTCTTTTATTTTTCTCTTTCCTGGAAGCTTGTTTAGACCAAGTTAATGGCCTTTTAGGCTTCCCCCACGTGAATAGGAGTTCACTTTTTGAATAATAAGAATTATTTGTCACGGGGAAGAGGAGCATCAGGATTTTAGAGATGTTTAGGTGGGGCATGGCCCAAAAAAGGTTGGGAACCGGTGGTGTAGAGGCACACCTCATTTTATTGCATTCCACTTTATTGCGTTCCACAGGTGTTGCTTTTTTTTAACAAGGCAAGACCCTCCTCCAGCAAAATGACTGGGGCTTTATTGTGCCGCTCCCTTTATTATGGTGGTCTAGAACCACACATGCAATATCTCCAAAGTATGCCTGCACTGAACATTTGATATGAAAAAACGTTTCCTCAAAAAAACAAAAAAAAAATAAAAACGTTTCCTCATAGGTCACCCCCTAGTTAACGGAGACATAAAATGAGATTTCGACTAGTTCATTCCGAGTTTTGATAAACAGCTTAAGTGTTAATGTCAGAAACTATCAAATCCCAGTACATCTTAGCCTAGGTTCCCTGGATGCCTCCAGCCCCTACATGAACCTGCTAAAATGGTTAAAATCTTGTGAGCATGTGCATTTTTCTGGCTAGAGAGGACATGGGTTTGCTCAGATTCTCAAAGGTACTAATGGCCCAGAACATTTTAAGTTATCCTGCTATAAACAATCTTGAATTATAAGCCCAGGTTTTTTAATAACAGAATTAATCATGCTAGCATCTATCACACGTGTTGTAGCAGCTCCCAGGCGGATTAGATTTTTCAGGGAAATCATGTGGTTTTTTTGGGGAGTGAGGGGTCACTTCTTGCAACAAATTTCTTTTTTTTTTTAAATATATTTTATTGATTTTTTACAGAGAGGAAGGGAGAGAGATAGAGAGTTAGAAACATCGATGATAGAGAAACATCGACCAGCTGCCTCCCGCACATCTCCCACTGGGGATGTGCCCGCAACCCAGGTACATGCCCTTGACCGGAATCGAACCTGGGACCCTTCAGTCCGCAGGCCGACGCTCTATCCACTGAGCCAAACCGGTTTCGGCAACAACAAATTTCTTAAGGCTTGTTTATTTTTACCATCTTATCTCCAGCACATGCTATTTGCCTCTGGCCCTGCTTCCCCTCATGTACTTGATAGCGCTTTCTTCTTCATTCCCAAAGCCCATGTTACTGTGTGATACAGACTTTTACTGACATAACAGAGGGAGGTTACAGCACAGAAGAAAGGAAACAACTTAAAAGTGAGTGTTAGACGTGGTGGCGGTGGTAAGGGTGTTAGGAAGCAGGCACTTTGACATGACTGATGGGAGAGCACTCTGTCAATATCTGTCAAAATGACAAATGCACATCTCCACTGACCCGCAAGTCCACGTCTAAACGTTTGTCCAGTAGACATGCTTACATTTGCAAAATGGCACAAGAGTATCCATCGCAGCCTTGTTTGTAATTTTAAAAAATTGGTAACAACTCAAATGTCCATCAGCAGGAGACGGATTAAATTAGAAATAAATGTGCTCTTTGTGTATGATATGAAAATATCTCTAAGACTTATTATTGCAGAGAAACACCGAGGTGCATAACTCGTGGTATAGTATTACTACCATTTGTGGAGATAAAAGAAAAGAGGGGCAAATATATATACGTAGGTGTTTGCATATATGTGCCAAGAACAGCTCCGACATCTGAAGGAAGCTGCTGACGCTGTGGAGGGGAGGTGGGTGGGTGCAGAACTGGGTATCAGAGATGCAATTCGCACAGTTTGCATTTGGAACCACATACCTACTACCTATTCTATCTGTACGTCATTAATCTTAACTGAATATATTTCAGAGTTATATATTATACACACATATTTAATATGATGTGTATGTATATGTGTATATTTACATGTGATAAATTTTATATGTGTGTATACATATCATTTAAGTGGGTGAAATGGAGTGTGGCACATTTTGTTCTGCACACCCTGAGGCCTCCTTCCCACAAGTCGCCATGCACCACTCTCCTCCCTAGGACTCTGCCTATAGCTCTGTTTTCCTTCTCGCCTCTTCTGCGAAGCCCAGAACTCTCCTTCATTATAGATCAGTTCCTTCATATGCACATTAAGGTCTGTTTCTGGCTTATTGGTTTTGTTCTGTTGAGCTCTCTATTTTTCAATGAGTTGGAGACGGTTCTTAATAACTTGGGTGTTAAAATTTTATAATAGAGCGGGAAGAAAAAGTATCTGCAGAGAAGGGAGGGGCGGAGATGACAATGAAAACCTAAAGAGGGAAAATGGTGAGGACAAGGCAGCGCGGTATGTGTGACCGGGAGTCAGCGTCGAAGCCCTGAAGCACTGAGCTGCACTGACAGCCAGGCTGTGGCTGCAAAACATCAATTCACGAGAGAAAATGATATCAGAGTCTGACATCATGACTCTGGAGTCCGCATCACCCTAGGAGCAGGAGCAGAAGGAATCGTACCTATTACCCATCCATTCATTCACAGATATATACCGAGGGCCTACTCTATGTCAGGAACTACGTTAGCTCTGGAGTCTAAAGCAGTGAATGAAGAGATAGTATCCTTCCTCCTAGAGCAGTGATGGCGAACCTATGACACGTGTGTCAGAGGTGACACGCGAACTCATTTTTTTGGTTGATTTTTCTTTGTTAAATGGCATTTAAATATATGAAATAAATATCAAAAATATAAGTCTTTGTTTTACTATGGTTGCAAATATCAAAAATTTTCTTTCTTTTTTTTTTTCTTATATTTTATTGATTTTTTACAGAGAGGAAGAGAGAGAGATAGAGAGTTAGAAACATCGATGAGAGAGAAACATCGATCAGCTGCCTCCTGCACACCTCCTACTGGGGATGTGTCCGCAACCCAGGTACATGCCCTTGACCGGAATCGAACCTGGGACCCTTCAGTCCGCAGGCCGACGCTCCATCCACTGAGCCAAACCAGTTTTGGCTCAAAAAATTTCTATATGTGACACGGCACCAGAGTTAAGTTAGGGTTTTTCAAAATGCTGACACATCGAGCTCAAAAGGTTCGCCATCACTGTCCTAGAGCCAACTGAAAGGAGAGAAATATTGTCCCTGGAGTAGAATGTGTAGTTGGAGAATACTGGACACTAATACGAGGGGTCCCAGAATCTACTGTGGCCCACCAATCAGAATGAGACTGCGGGATGTTAGGTGATAAGTGAGATTTGTCCATGTCCATCTCCCTGTAGGCCCAGCAGGACTCCAGACCTACCCAGCGATTATTCAACCAGGTCCTGAGTGTGGAGTTGAGATACAGTTAGCAGCGCAGAATATATACTCCTTGAGCTGTAAAATGTGGGACATTATGGTTAAAAGGACACTCCTCTAGCTACTCCTACCCACTGAAATAGCAAATATTGCCTCCACGTGGGATTTGCTACTATCAGAGATTGCAAGAGACGTATAACACTTCCCATCCCATTCCTATTTCATCATCAAGATGGACAAGGACACACGATCCTGAAAAATGACGCCGGATCACCGCAGGCTTCATCAGCTGGTGATGTCAGTTGCAGCTGCTCTTCCAGAGATGGTCTCCTTCCTGGAGTCACCGGCCCTCCTGGCATCTGGTATGTGACTTATTCGGCAGACGCGGTTCTCAATCCAGGAATGTAGCAAACACAAAAACCAGTTTCCTGTCACCCGATAGAGTGAGTGGTATACTTTTACATTTTCCGTCATCGGTGACGTCCACTCTCCAGCTCTGTCCCCAGGTCAGCCCAGAGTGACGCTGGCCATCTCACCATCCCACAGAACATCACTCAGGAGCGCTGCTTGTGAATTGGCCAAAGAGCATCCTCTCTTCACCACGTGACTCCCTTTGAGAAACAGGTCTTGCCTGGTTGGGGGGCCCTGGTAGACACCAGTGGACCTCAGGTGCCCTGGGGATATGAGCTGCTTCTCATGAACTGAGTTAGATGATGCACAGAGCCATAAAGATGGGCGTGCCCAGTGTTACCACGTCACTAATTGCAGCTCCTGATGGTACCAGTAAATTGCCTGAGTAGGCCGGTTACACTCCCCGCATGCCTACCCTTGATCCATGGGAGCCCCATCCCATCTGACGGCTTTTTCCTCTTGGGCAGTTCCCTTTGACCGGCTGACTAAGGAAGGAAAATGCAAGCCTGGCTGACAATGTTCTCTGCAAGGTTTCTTGGAACCAACAAGGAATGGACTGCTCCAGCCTTTCAGACATGAATGACAAAGAGACGTGGCTGTGGAAGACGACAGAAAGGAAATCCTTCCAGTGGGGGGACTTTTGAATAGCAAACCCACTTTTCTGGAAAGAGAGGACTAAAGCAGAGAGCAGAAAGCTTCATAGGCAGGGACTAATGGCCACAGGAGTGAGAATCCCTAAGCCATCGTTCCTCTCTTCTATTCCCGATACACTCAGTGCAGCAGTCCCCCTTCCACCCTCCCACTGTGCCCTTCCCAGTCCTTCCATCATGACCTCTGGGTGTAAAGACCCCTGGCTGTTCCCTGAAGACATTGCTTCTCCTGCAACCCTCTCCAGGCATGGCTCTCTCCTCACCTCAAAGGGTTTTTTCATCCACCACGTCCTTCTTGCTTTCATTTTCCCAATCACTACAGCGACTCTCTTGTGTATACTCTTTGCCTCCCTCTCTCTCTCTCTTTTTTAAATGTATTTTTATTGATTTCAGAGAGGTAGGAAGAGGGAGAGAGAGATAGAAACATCCATGATGAGAGAGAATCATGGATTGGCTGCCTCCTGCAAGTCCCCCAGGCATGTGCCCTTGACCAGAATCGAACCTGGCACCTTTCAGTTTGCAGACCGAGGCTCTATCCACTGAGCCAAACCGGCTAGAGCAGTGGTTCTCAACCTTCTGGCCCTTTAAATACAGTTCCTCATGTTGTGACCCAACCATAAAATTATTTTCGTTGCTACTTCATAACTGTCATGTTGCTACTGTTATGAATCGTCATGTAAATATCTGAGATGCAGGATGGTCTTAGGCGACCCCTGTGAAAGGGTCGTTCGACCGCCAAAGGGGTTGCGACCCACAGGTTGAGAACCGGTGGTCTAGAGCGAGAAACCTCTCTTCCTTCATTAAGCTCATCTGAGGAAAAACAACCTTGGTTCAACCCACTTTCTCCCTCTCTTTTATGTCAATATGCGAGCGGTTGTGGCTGGAGAGAAACACGGTCCTGCTGATCCAGCCCTGCTCTCAATTCACAACCCGCAAATCTCAAATGGCCTCTCAGGCCTCCAGGAAATCCGACATTTCCTTAGACAAATCACTTTTTCCCAGGGAGCTGACCATTTCACAGCTTCTCTCTCCTCCAACCTCTGAATGTCTCATCACTTTCAGCAGAATCACTAAATCAACCCACGTACATATCCCCGAATCCATCACTCTCTTCCCTCTCAGAGGTTGGAGGAGCCGCCTCTTTGTAAGGGCAGCCCCTCCCACTGGTCCCCTGGACCCATCCCCTCGCCTGCAGGAGACCTTTGCTCCTCCCCGTCTCCTCCTCTTCTCTAGCAGCACCAATTTCCTCCTCGAGCTGTAACCTGCTGATTCCAAATGGCGTCTCTTGCTAGATGCAATTTCCTGAAAATGAATTAGAAAATTTGATGAAACTGATATATTTTTAGCAAAATTCAAACAAATAGGATCACCTCAAACATAGAGAAGAAATAACAATAACTAAAGAAGAAATTAAAGATTTTGTGAAAGATCGCCAGTCCTCAAAAAAGCCAAGTCACAGCTAATTTCGTCAACCCAACTTCAATAAGAATATGTATATTTTGGGTAACTTGTCATAAAAAGACGTCTTATATTTTAAAGATATACCATGAAATATAAGTGAAGTTAAATGTCTGGGATTGGGATTTGCTTCAAAATAACTCAAGGGATGAGGGAAAAGAGTGAGGATAGAGATGGATTGGCTCAGCCCTAATAATTGTTCAGGAAGCTGGTGATGAATGCATGGAGCTCATTATATGATTCTATTTTTATGTTTGAAATTTTTCATATATAACTTTTAAAAAAAAAACTGCTGGATGTATTAGTGATGGCTGAGAATCTTAGAATATCAAAGGATGAGACAGTGCTCCTAGAGCTACATTCTCAAGATCATCTTGTTTAAAAGAGGAGGAAGAACTGAGAAGAAATTAGAGAAGAATGGAACATTTAGAGAATCTTTTCAAAAGTTGTTTTCTCTGGATTGTCCCAGGATTTTGCCTAAAACCCATATCAGTGGGTACTGTATAATTAATCAAACCTTTTTACAGTTTTCTAGTAAAACTGTTTCTGTTTGATTACCCAGGACCCCCAAAGAACCTAGACTACTAAAACGAAGTGAAAACAGTGTCCCGCTAGCTATAAAACTAAATTCTCATAGATGCGTTGTCCTGTTTTTCACCTCTCAGTTCTGCACAAGTGGTGTGTTGGTCTATTCCTATGACAGAAATAACCCCTAGTTACTGTCACTTTATGCCATATTTTGCTTTCTGGTCAGGATTAATACCCCTTGATTACTTTATAAAGATTGTCTTGGATATTCTTATGTATTTATTCTTCCGTATGAACTTTAGAGTACATTGTCATTTCCCTACAATAAAATTTACTTGACACTGTATTAGAATTACATAAAATTCAGCAATTAATTTGAAGATAAATGACATATCACAACATCGAGGCCTTCTGTCCGGTTAGCTTGGCTGACGTGCAATCACTAATGAGACATGACGGCCTTGTATTAGCTGTGCTTGGGGAGCCAGCTGGGACGCCTCAGAGTGGCACTGACTAGAGCAGTGGTTCTCAACCTTCTGGCCCTTTAAATACAGTTCCTCATGTTGTGACCCAACCATAAAATTATTTCCATTGCTACTTCATAACTGTAATGTTGCTACTGTTATGAATCGTCATGTAAATATCTGATATGCAGGATGGTCTTAGGCGACCCCTGTGAAAGGGTCGTTCGACCGCCAAAGGGGTCACGACCCACAGGTTGAGAACCGCTGGACTAGAGAGTTGCACGGACACAAGAGGCCTGCAGTGAGCCATCAGAGCCCCAGCACGGAAGTGCCAGGAACAATGGCATGGACTTTTGAAAGAGGAACACGTTTTTCAGCGTCCTCAGGTTTACTGGGAAACAGGCAGTGCTCCTACAGTGGGGCCTGCTATGGATCCGGGTTGTGAGCTGAGAAAGGCAAGTCTAGAGACGTCGAGGACAGCGCTGCTAGATTGATGGTGCCACCGAAGCTTCCTTTCTGCTTTTCCTTTTCTTAATTTAGTGTGCATCCTTGGTTATATTTTTGCCCTTCCCATTCTTTTTGACTTTTTAAAAATCATGTCCCTTCAGTAAACACCAGAAAGACCTCGTTTTTTCACCCAGTCTGAGAGTCTTCTTTTTCTAAAGGAGGATTTAACTTTTTTTAATAATTTTTTTTATTGATTTCAGAGAGGAAGGAAGAGGGACAGAGATAGAAACATCAATGATGAGAGGATTATTGATCCGCTGCCTCCTGCACACCCCATACTGGGGATTGAACCCACAACCCCAGCATGTGTCCATGACCGGAATCAAACCTGGGACCCTTCAGTCTGCAGGCCGATGCTCTATCCACTGAGCCAAACCAGCCAGGGCGGATTTAACTTTTTGATGGTTCCTGTAACCCTCCATTACTCACTGGCCTTCTTGTCATAGTTTACGTTCTGACTTGATTATGCTTTACCGTTGTTCCCCTCTATTGATTTGGTATTTTTTTTAAAGGCGCTGTTGCTGCGTCTTCCGTTTAATTGGTCCACGTCAGCTGGGTTGGGGAGAAATGAAGTAAACTGCTTCCTCCACCCCATTCCCTGAGCTAACTCAGCTCCAGTTGGCCCTGTTCTGTACCCGCCTGGAGGCTGAGGTTGTCGGCTTATTTATTTCTAAGGCCCAGTCACAGAAATAGGAATCTATTCACATTGGATAACCGCTTTATATTGCTGAATGTGATAAATTTAGCAACACCGGGAGGAAGTGTTCTACTTGCTGATGCTGAGCCGGGCAAAATTGTTACTTTTCTTTTCTTCTCATAGTCCTTGCAGCACTGAAACCGCTGACCCTCCTGTCCTCAGCTCATCTCCCAGGGTGACATAACCTCAGCGTGTCTGAAGAAATGTCCTTAGAGCAGCGGTTCTCAACCTGTGGGTCTCGACCCCTTTGGCGGTCGAACGACCCTTTCACGGGGGTCGCCTAAGACCATCTGCATATCAGATATTTACATGACGATTCATAACAGTAGCAACATTACAGTTATGAAGTAGCAACGAAAATAATTTTATGGTTGGGTCACAACATGAGGAACTGCATTTAAAAGGCCAGAAGGTTGAGAACCACTGCCTTAGAGGCTCTTGGCTTTGTTTTGAGTTTCCAACAGTCTGTGCTAAGCACCAACACTGACCAACATGCACAATAGTCAGGGCAGGATAGGCGGTGTCCCAGTGTGGGTTCCCCCAAAAGAAGCCCCAGAGATATGCAAGCAATTGATTTCATGATCCTAAGACACATGGCAGGACAGCAGAGAAGTGAGACGGGGAAAGAAAGTCAACAAAGGATGTTTTATCAAGCAAAAAAAAGAACTTGATCACGTGGAGGAAGTCCCGGAGCCAGCATAAAACACACATCGCCCTAGGGAACAAGGGAACAGGGACTTCTGGAACAAAGTCTTCAATTCCCTGGAACGTCCAGGCCTCTGTACCCGAGGAGGCGGTTAATAAAAGATACACACGTGCTGACAGCAGTACTGGCTACACTAAACTATAAGGCCACAGAGGTACGGGTGGAGCCCCAACCGTGTCCCTTACAATAGATTTTATTCAGTTCTTATGATCAAGAAATTATTTCAGATGTCATAGCGTGGTGTGATGGTATGATGGTTCCTGACCATGT